TAGTGAGAACAGGTGGACAAACACAACAGCAACTGTTTGGATGAGGTAGTGAGAACAGGTGGACAAACACAACAGCAACTGTTTGGATGAGGTAGTGAGAACAGGCGGACAAACACAACAGCAACTGTTTGGATGAGGTAGTGATGGACAAAAACGCACAAGAGTAGAGATAGCCTATGACCTTCCATGGTGACCTGATGGTACTCATTGTGTTTTATCTGGCATTCTGGGGCATGGGGGAATCAACTCTAGATTTATGACATAGTTGTGAAAGTTACTGCCATGTTCTCACACAGACTCACATACCATGTCACTAAGAAGCATCAGTTGGCTCCGTCACCAAATGAACAGGTGTAGAATGCATATTTGTGATCATATGACTGCTGTATATCAGGGTTGTTATAACACACGTCTTGTAAACCAAGATTGTTTACTATCTCACAGAACCACTGAATGTTTTCTGTGAACATTGATGATGATGTCATCACAGGTCTCCAGCCTTGTCTTTACAATGAATGATGTCATCACAGGTCTCCAGCCTTGTCTTTACAATGAATGATGTCATCACAGGTCTCCAGCCTTGTCTTTACAATGAATGATGTCATCACAGGTCTCCAGCCTTGTCTTTACAATGAATGATGTCATCACAGGTCTCCAGCCTTGTCTTTACAATGAATGATGTCATCTTGTCAAACATCTGGCCACAAGTTTAAGTGTTGCCTGTCAGGCTTTAAACAGACACAGAACCAATTCAACTGATCTTAATTATGATTTTTATTGCAGAACACAAATATGTGTATGTTTATTATAACGAACAGATAATAACAATATTGGTGACAACTGTTTATAAAACCACAGGTTTGATTAGTCTGTGTCATTCTGAGTTTTAACAAGAAAGGTCAAGTCAAGGAGCCTTGTGACGCCAGCGGTGCATCAGGCACAGGAGACCAGATTTGTGCAGCCTGATCGGCCCTGGCTGGGCAATGTGGTCAACATCATGCTGGCCTAGTTTACTTCCCAGGACACTTCCTGATACACACTACATGAGAGGACTACATGAGAGGACTACATGAGAGGACTACATGAGAGGACTACATGACCGGACTACATGAGAGGACTACATGAGAGGACTACATGAGAGGACTACATGACCAGACTACATGACCCGACTACATGACAGGACTACAAGACAGGACTACATGACAGCCAAGGTCAGTTTGAACAAATGCACTTATTAGAGGATTTGAACCCTACACCTTGAGGCCAGCCGCGTAGCATCTAACCACTGCAATACATGACCAATAATAAATATGGCATCCTTATAGAAGACACTGCCTCCCTCTTTCTGCCTCAACAGCAAATTCTGACATATATCTATTTGTTTGTCTTAGTGTGTAAGCAGTGTGTGTGTACATATATCTATTCATTTGTCTGAGTGTGTAAGCAGTGTGTGTGTACATATATCTATTTGTTTGTCTGAGTGTGTGTGCAGTGTGTGTGTACATATATCTATTCATTTGTCTGAGTGTGTAAGCAGTGTGTCTGTACATATATCTATTTGTTTGTCTGAGTGTGTGTGCAGTGTGTGTGTGTATACATATATCTATTCATTTGTCTGAGTGTGTGTGCAGTGTGTGTGTGTATACATATATCTATTCATTTGTCTGAGTGTGTGTGCAGTGTGTGTGTATACATATATCTATTCATTTGTCTGAGTGTGTGTGCAGTGTGTGTGTGTGTATACATATATCTATTTGTTTGTCTGAGTGTGTGTGCAGTGTGTGTGTGTATACATATATCTATTCATTTGTCTGAGTGTGTGTGCAGTGTGTGTGTATACATATATCTATTCACTTGTCTGAGTGTGTGTGCAGTGTGTGTGTGTATACATATATATCTATTCACTTGTCTGAGTGTGTGCAGTGTGTGTGTGTATACATATATCTATTTGTTTGTCTGAGTGTGTATGCAGTGTGTGTGTACATATATCTATTTGTTTGTCTGAGTGTGTATGCAGTGTGTGTGTACATACATCTATTTGTTTGTCTGAGTGTGTATGCAGTGTGTGTGTACATATATCTATTTGTTTGTCTGAGTGTGTATGCAGTGTGTGTGTACATACATCTATTTGTTTGTCTGTGTGTGTATGTAGTGTGTGTATACATATATCTATTTGTTTGTCTGAGTGTGTATGCAGTGTGTGTGTACATATATCTATTTGTTTGTCTGAGTGAGTATGCAGTGTGTGTGTGTATACATATATCTATTCACTTGTCTGAGTGTGTATGCAGTGTGTGTGTGTACATATATCTATACACTTGTCTGAGTGTGTATGCAGTGTGTGTACATATATCTATTTGTTTGTCTAAGTGTGTATGCAGTGTGTGTACATACATTCATTCATTTGTCTGAGTGTGTATGCAGTGTGTGTGTACATATATCTATTCGTTTGTCTGAGTGTGTGTGCAGTGTGTGTGTACATACATCTATTCATTTGTATGAGTGTGTATGCAGTGTGTGTGTACATATATCTATTCACTTGTCTGAGTGTGTGTGCAGTGTGTGTGTACATATATCTATTTGTTTGTCTGAGTGTGTATGCAGTGTGTGTGTACATATATCTATTCATTTGTCTGAGTGTGTATGCAGTGTGTGTGTACATATATCTATTCACTTGTCTGAGTGTGTATGCAGTGTGTGTGTACATATATCTATTCACTTGTCTGAGTGTGTATGCAGTGTGTGTGTACATATATCTATTCACTTGTCTGAGTGTGTATGCAGTGTGTGTGTACATATATCTATTCATTTGTCTGAGTGTGTATGCAGTGTGTGTGTACATATATCTATTCGTTTTTCTGAGTGTGTATGCAGTGTGTGTGTACATATATCTATTTGTTTGTCTGAGTGTGTATGCAGTGTGTGTGTACATATATCTATTCATTTGTCTGAGTGTGTATGCAGTGTGTGTGTACATATATCTATTTGTTTGTCTGAGTGTGTGTGCAGTGTGTGTGTGTATACATATATCTATTCATTTGTCTGAGTGTGTGTGCAGTGTGTGTGTGTGTGTATACATATATCTATTCATTTGTCTGAGTGTGTGTGCAGTGTGTGTGTGTATACATATATCTATTCATTTGACTGAGTGTGTGTGCAGTGTGTGTGTGTATACATATATCTATTTGTTTGTCTGAGTGTGTGTGCAGTGTGTGTGTGTATACATATATCTATTCATTTGTCTGAGTGTGTGTGCAGTGTGTGTGTATACATATATCTATTCACTTGTCTGAGTGTGTGTGCAGTGTGTGTGTATATACATATATATCTATTCACTTGTCTGAGTGTGTGCAGTGTGTGTGTGTATACATATATCTATTTGTTTGTCTGAGTGTGTATGCAGTGTGTGTACATATATCTATTTGTTTGTCTGAGTGTGTGTGCAGTGTGTGTGTGTATACATATATCTATTCATTTGTCTAAGTGTGTATGCAGTGTGTGTACATACATTCATTCATTTGTCTGAGTGTGTATGCAGTGTGTGTGTGCATATATCTATTCGTTTGTCTGAGTGTGTGTGCAGTGTGTGTGTACATATATCTATTCATTTGTATGAGTGTGTATGCAGTGTGTGTGTACATATATCTATTCACTTGTCTGAGTGTGTGCAGTGTGTGTGTACATATATCTATTCACTTGTCTGAGTGTGTATGCAGTGTGTGTGTACATATATCTATTCATTTGTCTGAGTGTGTATGCAGTGTGTGTGTACATATATCTATTTGTTTATCTGAGTGTGTATGCAGTGTGTGTGTACATATATCTATTTGTTTGTCTGAGTGTGTATGCAGTGTGTGTGTACATATATCTATTCATTTGTCTGAGTGTGTATGCAGTGTGTGTGTACATATATCTATTTGTTTGTCTGAGTGTGTATGCAGTGTGTGTGTACATATATCTATTCATTTGTCTGAGTGTGTAAGCAGTGCGTGTGTACATATATCTATTCGTTTGTCTGAGTGTGTATGCAGTGTGTGTGTACATATATCTATTCATTTGTCTGAGTGTGTATGCAGTGTGTGTGTACATATATCTATTCATTTGTCTGAGTGTGTATGCAGTGTGTGTGTACATATATCCATTCATTTGTCTGAGTGTGTATGCAGTGTGTGTGTACATATATCTATTCGTTTGTCTGAGTGTGTATGCAATGTGTGTGTACATACATCTATTTGTTTGTCTGAGTGTGTATGCAGTGTGTGTGTACATACATCTATTTGTTTGTCTGAGTGTGTATGTAGTGTGTGTGTACATATATCTATTCACTTGTCTGAGTGTGTATGCAGTGTGTGTGTACATACATCTATTTGTTTGTCTGAGTGTGTATGCAGTGTGTGTGTACATACATCCATTCATTTCTCTGAGTGTGTATGCAGTGTGTGTGTACATATATCTATTCGTTTGTCTGAGTGTGTATGCAACACTGAAGTACAGAGTTTCATAATAAAGATATAGTGTCTGAAGTGCAGGAGAAAGTAGTCAACAATGTTTATGAAGTTATGTCCAGAATTTCTGCTTGCCTATGACAACATGCCATGACAGCAAACTGCAGCCATCTGTAGCGACTGATGCATCTTGCTTATCTTATAGGTCACAACCATAAGCTCTCTGACACTATGTTTCAGTATGAAGTGTGTAGCTAGATAACAGTTTGCATTTTCTGTCATTTCAAAACTGTTTTTCAGAAAATGCATAACTTGGCACATTACAGTTTTCATGTTGTTTACATTAAAATTATAATTCTGACTTAAAACCATGTCTCTGGCAAAAGCTTGTCATTTCGTGAATGGAATGTATTTGGATGCTATCTGACAACACTCTGATTATTAATTCATTATTTGTGATTCGCGTAAAAATTAAATATTTGCATTACTGCCACTTTTTTCATTTTAAAAAAAGTTCAACATCTCAGTGAAACATAATCACAATCCAGTCCACATTTACAAAGTCTTGTGAAACTCTGGGGGATCAACCGAAGAACCTTCTTTGAACAGTGTGTCACCAGATGGTACAGAACTTGCTGAAGCTTTAGCTTGTTGTTGCAGGCGAACCATTTCTTCCGAGGCAGTGTCTGTCAGGAGTAGATCAAAGACACAAGCTGAACACTGCAGTGTCTGTCAGTCAGGAGTAGATCAAAGACACAAGCTGAACACTACAGTGTCTGTCAGTCAGGAGTAGATCAAAGACACAAGCTGAACACTACAGTGTCTGTCAGTCAGGAGTAGATCAAAGACACAAGCTGAACACTGCAGTGTCTGTCAGTCAGGAGTAGATCAAAGACACAAGCTGAACACTACAGTGTCTGTCAGTCAGGAGTAGATCAAAGACACAAGCTGAACACTGCAGTGTCTGTCAGTCAGGAGTAGATCAAAGACACAAGCTGAACACTGCAGTGTCTGTCAGTCAGGAGTAGATCAAAGACACAAGCTGAACACTACAGTGTCTGTCAGTCAGGAGTAGATCAAAGACACAAGCTGAACACTACAGTGTCTGTCAGTCAGGAGTAGATCTTGTCTGAGTGTGTATGCAGTGTGTGTGTACATACATCTATTTGTTTGTCTGAGTGTGTATGCAGTGTGTGTGTACATACATTCATTCATTTGTCTGAGTGTGTATGCAGTGTGTGTGTACATATATCTATTCGTTTGTCTGAGTGTGTATGCAGTGTGTGTGTACATATATCTATTTGTTTGTCTGAGTGTGTGTGCAGTGTGTGTGTACATATATCTATTCGTTTGTCTGAGTGTGTATGCAGTGTGTGTGTACATATATCTATTTGTTTGTCTGAGTGTGTATGCAGTGTGTGTGTACATATATCTATTCGTTTGTCTGAGTGTGTATGTAGTGTGTGTACATATATCTATTCATTTGTCTGAGTGTGTATGCAGTGTGTGTGTTCATATATCTATTTGTTTATCTGAGTGTGTATGCAGTGTGTGTGTACATATATCTATTCGTTTGTCTGAGTGTGTATGTAGTGTGTGTACATATATTTATTCGTTTGTCTGAGTGTGTATGCAGTGTGTGTGTACATATATCTATTTGTTTATCTGAGTGTGTATGCAGTGTGTGTGTACATATATCTATTCGTTTGTCTGAGTGTGTATGCAGTGTGTGTGTACATATATCTATTCGTTTGTCTGAGTGTGTATGCAGTGTGTGTGTACATATATCTATTCACTTGTCTGAGTGTGTATGCAGTGTGTGTGTACATATATCTATTCGTTTGTCTGAGTGTGTATGCAGTGTGTGTGTACATATATCACCAATATCAACTGACCACTAGCACCTAGAGCAAACATATCAGCCAACAATATCAACTGACCACTAGCAACTACAGCAAACATATCAGCCAACAATATCAACTGACCACTAGCAACTACAGCAAACATATCAGCCAACAATATCAACTGACCACTAGCAACTACAGCAAACATATCAGCCAACAATATCAACTGACCACTAGCAACAGGAGCAAAAATATCAGCAACAATATCAACTGACCAATAGCAACACTTGGGCTGACATAACAACTGACCACTAGCAACACTTAGGCTGACATAACAACTGACCACTAGCAACACTTAGGCTGACATAACAACTGACCACTAGCAACACTCAGTCTGACATAACAACTGACCACTAGCAACACTTAGGCTGACATAACAACTGACCACTAGCAACACTTAGGCTGACATAACAACTGACCACTAGCAACACTTAGGCTGACATATCAACTGACCACTAGCAACACTTAGGCTGACATAACAACTGACCACTAGCAACACTCAGTCTGACATAACAACTGACCACTAGCAACACTCAGTCTGACATATCAACTGACCACTAGCAACACTTAGACTGACATAACAACTGACCACTAGCAACACTTAGACTGACATAACAACTGACCACCAACAACACTTAGGCTGACATATCAACTGACCACTAGCACCTAGAGCAAACATATCAGCCAACAATATCAACTGACCACTAGCAACTACAGCAAACATATCAGCCAACAATATCAACTGACCACTAGCAACTACAGCAAACATATCAGCCAACAATATCAACTGACCACTAGCAACTACAGCAAACATATCAGCCAACAATATCAACTGACCACTAGCAACTACAGCAAACATATCAGCCAACAATATCAACTGACCACTAGCAACAGGAGCAAAAATATCAGCGAACAATATCAACTGACCACTAGCAACACTTGGGCTGACATAACAACTGACCACTAGCAACACTTAGGCTGACATAACAACTGACCACTAGCAACACTTAGGCTGACATAACAACTGACCACTAGCAACACTCAGTCTGACATAACAACTGACCACTAGCAACACTTAGGCTGACATAACAACTGACCACTAGCAACACTTAGGCTGACATAACAACTGACCACTAGCAACACTTAGGCTGACATAACAACTGAACTGACCACTAGCAACACTTACTTAGGCTGACATAACAACTGACCACTAGCAACACTTAGGCTGACATAACAACTGACCACTAGCAACACTCAGTCAGTAAACTGACATAACAACTGACCACTAGCAACACTCAGTCTGACATAACAACTGACCACTAGCAACACTTAGGCTGACATAACAACTGACCACTAGCAACACTTAGGCTGACATAACAACTGACCACTAGCAACACTTAGGCTGACATATCAACTGACCACTAGCAACACTTAGACTGACATAACAACTGACCACTAGCAACACTTAGACTGACATAACAACTGACCACTAGCAACACTTAGGCTGACATATCAACTGACCACTAGCAACACTTAGGCTGACATAACAACTGACCACTAGCAACAAGGCTGACATCAGTCTCAGGCTGACATAATAACTGACCACTGACCACTAGCAACACTCAGTCTGACATAACAACTGACCACTAGCAACACTTGGGCTGACATAACAACTGACCACTAGCAACACTTGGGCTGACATACTCAGCAACACTGACCACTAGCAACACTTAGGCTGACATAACAAACTGGCCACCACCACTGACATACTGAGCAACACTTAGGCTGACATAACAACTGACCACCAACAACACTTAGGCTGACATAACAACACTGACTGACACAACACCACTAGCAACACTTAGGCTGACATAACAACTGACCACCAACAACACTTAGGCTGACATAACAACTGACCACCAGCAACACTTGGGCTGACATAACAACTGACCACTAGCAACACTTAGGCTGACATAACAACTGACCACTAGCAACACTTAGGCTGACATAACAACTGACCCCCAACAACACTTGGGCTGACATAACAACTGACCACCAGCAACACTTAGGCTGAGATAACAACTGACCACTAGCAACACTCAGACTGACATAACAACTGACCACCAACAACACTTAGGCTGACATAACAACTGACCACTAGCAACACTTAGGCTGACATAACAAGTGACCACCAGCAACACTTAGGCTGACATAACAACTGACCACCAACAACACTTAGGCTGACATAACAACTGACCACTAGCAACACTTAGGCTGACATAACAAGTGACCACCAGCAACACTTAGGCTGACATAACAAGTGACCACCAGCAACACTTAGGCTGACATAACAACTGGGAGAAATCCATTCACAGCTATCAAAGGACACAGGATGCATCAAGGGGCCGCTACTCACCAGTCTCTAAAACAGTAGCAATCAAGAGTAGGATCAAAGCATCAACTAGTAACAAGTCAAGGACACTTCTTCAGGCCATGAGGCGTACTCTCCTATGGTTTTAGCCACATCTTATCAGACTGGTCAGTACTCTCCTATGGTTTTAGCCACATCTTATCAGACCTGTCAGAACTCTCATATAGTTTTAGCCACATCTTATCAGACCGGTCAGTACTCTCCTATGGTTTTAGCCACATTTTATCAGACAGGTCAGTACTCTCCTATGGTTTAAGCCACATCTTATCAGACCGGTCAGTACTCTCATATGGTTTTAGCCACATCTTATCAGACCGGTCAGTACTCTCACATGGTTTTAGCCACATCTTATCAGACCGGTCAGAACTCTCATACAAATTTAGCCACATCATATCAGTCCAGTCAGAACTCTCATATGGTTTTAGCCACATCTTATCAGACCGGTCAGTACTCTCATACCGTTTTAGCTACATCTTATCAGACCGGTCAGTACTCTCCTATGGTTTTAGCCACATCTTATCAGACCGGTCAGTACTCTCCTATGGTTTTAGCCACATCTTATCAGACCTGTCAGAACTCTCATATAGTTTTAGCCACATCTTATCAGACCGGTCAGTACTCTCCTATGGTTTTAGCCACATCTTATCAGACCGGTCAGTACTCTCACATGGTTTTAGCTACATCTTATCAGACCGGTCAGTACTCTCATATGGTTTTAGCCACATCTTATCAGACTGGTCAGTACTCTCATATGGTTTTAGCCACATCTTATCAGACTGGTCAGAAAATTTCACTGCGGTGGCTTTCCAACAGACACTGCGGTGGCTTTCCAATAGAAAGATTTCGTTCATAAAGCTGTACCTACAGATGGACATTTTTTTCTCCTAACAATTTTGCAAATGCTACTGCCGGAGAACCTCTGTGGCCATGTTGAAGACATGATGGTTGACCCAGTTTGTCCTGTCTTAAATAAAGAGTCTAGCATGTTGATCTCACCATCAGGAGTTCACGGGGTCATGGGCTATTATTAGGATGCAATGGCCAGTTGTGAACAAGCAGATATCAAGTGTATGCTGGGAGCTCATTGTCTAGTCAGTCACAGGCAGACACTGGCACCTTGAGCCTGTCACAGTGAAATCAACCAAGATCACAGAGACTCACCAGAAACAAAAGTGGACTTGATGTTTGCTGGAATCCTGTCCAGGAACCACTGATGATTGTGCAGTGTGGCCAGGACACCTCCAGCATTCCTGTGCTGCACCTGCTGGTGGTAGAGAATGGGATTCCCCAACAGGTCAGTCAAGCGACCTCCAACTGCATGAAGGACTGCTTCTGGAGCACAGGTGTCCCATTTCTTACAGCCTTTACTGGCAAACACATAGGCATGAGCCTTTCCTTCAATCAGCAGCAGCACCTGAAAACAAAGATATCATAGGACAGAGTCAGAGCCAGCAGTGTATGAATGATCAATCATGTCAAGTGTGTGTATGAATGATCAATCATGTCAGGTGAGTGGATGAATGATCAATAATGTCAAGTGTGTGTATGAATGATCAATAATGTCAGGTGAGTGGATGAATGATCAATAATGTCAAGTGTGTGTATGAATGATCAATAATGCCAGGTGAGTGGATGAATGATCAATAATGTCAAGTGTGTGTATGAATGATCAATAATGTCAGGTGAGTGGATGAATGATCAATCATGTCAGGTGAGTGGATGAATGATCAATAATGTCAAGTGTGTGTATGAATGATCAATAATGTCAGGTGAGTGGATGAATGATCAATCATGTCAGGTGAGTGGATGAATGATCAATAATGTCAGGTGAGTGGATGAATGATCAATCATGTCAGGTGAGTGGATGAATGATCAATAATGTCAAGTGTGTGTATGAATGATCAATAATGTCAGGTGTGTGGATGAATGATCAATCATGTCAGGTGAGTGGATGAATGATCAATAATGTCAAGTGTGTGTATGAATGATCAATAATGTCAGGTGAGTGGATGAATGATCAATCATGTCAGGTGAGTGAATGAATGATCAATCATGTCAGGTGTGTGGATGAATGATTAATCATGTCAGGTGAGTGGATGAATGATCAATCATGTCAAGTGAGTGGATGAATGATCAATCATGTCAGGTGAGTGGATGAATGATCAATCATGTCAGGTAAGTGAATGAATGATCAATCATGTCAGGTGTGTGGATGAATGATCAATCGTGTCAGGTGTGTGGATGAATGATCAATCATGTCAGGTGTGTGGATGAAAAATCAATCATGTCAGGTGTGTGGATGAATGATCAATCATGTCAGGTGAGTGGATGAATGATCAATCATGTCAGGTGTGTGGATGAATGATCAATCATGTCAGGTGAGTGAATGAAAGATCAATAATGTCAAGTGTATGGATGAATGATCAATCATTTCAGGTGAGTGAATGAATGATCAACCATGTCAGGTGTGTGGATGAATGATCAATCATGTCAGGTGTGTGGATGAATGATCAATCATGTCAGGTGTGTGGATGAATGATCAATCATATCAGGTGTGTGGATGAATGATCAATCATATCAGGTGTGTGGATGAATGATCAATCATGTCAGGTGAGTGAATGAATGATCAATCATGTCAGGTGTGTGGATGAATGATTAATCATGTCAGGTGAGTGGATGAATGATCAATCATGTCAAGTGAGTGGATGAATGATCAATCATGTCAGGTGAGTGGATGAATGATCAATCATGTCAGGTAAGTGAATGAATGATCAATCATGTCAGGTGTGTGGATGAATGATCAATCGTGTCAGGTGTGTGGATGAATGATCAATCATGTCAGGTGTGTGGATGAAAAATCAATCATGTCAGGTGTGTGGATGAATGATCAATCATGTCAGGTGAGTGGATAAATGATCAATCATGTCAGGTGTGTGGATGAATGATCAATCATGTCAGGTGAGTGGATGAATGATCAATCATGTCAGGTGTGTGGATGAATGATCAATCATGTCAGGTGAGTGAATGAATGATCAATCATGTCAGGTAAGTGAATGAATGATCAATCATGTCAGGTGTGTGGATGAATGATCAATCATGTGAGGTAAGTGAATAAATGATCAATCATGTCAGGTGTGTGGATGAATGATCAATCATGTCAGGTGAGTGAATGAATGATCAATCATGTCAGGTAAGTGAATGAATGATCAATCATGTCAAGTGTGTGGATGAATGATCAATCATGTCAGGTGTGTGGATGAATGATCAATCATGTCAGGTGTGTGGATGAATGATCAATCATGTCAGGTGAGTGAATGAATAATCAATCATGACAAGTGTGTGGATGAATGATCAATCATGTCAAGTGTGTGGATGAATGATCAATCATTTTAGGTGAGTGGATGAATGATCAATCATGTCAGGTGAGTGTATGAAAGATCAATAATGTCAAGTGTATGGATGAATGATCAATCATTTCAGGTGAGTGAATGAATGATCAATCATGTCAGGTGTGTGGATGAATGATCAATCATGTCAGGTGTGTGGATGAATGATCAATCATATCAGGTGTGTGGATGAATGATCAATCATATCAGGTGTGTGGATGAATGATCAATCATGTCAGGTGTGTGGATGAAAGAACTGTCAAAAAATATGTCTATGGATGAAGAAATGATCCGCCATACCTTGTGACCAGCTCCCCCAACTTTTACGATCTCCGTGGGTTCACATGCATTCACAGCTTCTGTGACAATCCGATCGGCATGAGACCGGGTGGTTGTGATAATGTTCTTATTTGCAGGCGGGGACTTCAGTGTAAAGCCAAATGAGCCTGAATATTCATATAAACTAGTTAAAAACCAATTGGTTTAAAATAAAACCTCATATTCATATAATCTGGTCAAAAATGCACTCAAATGAATCTAAACTTGTTAAAACTAAACACATTAATGTACTGAGTTCAGACATTCTATTTTAGTTCAGCTGAGTTAAGAACCGTTATTGCACTCAGGACATACCCACAGATGCTCTATCCCCATTTTCAGCAGCCAGTTCTGAGTTTTAAAACTAACAGTGCCAGCTGTACCAGATCCTTTGGTCTCCACCCGTTACATTCTTGTCTCCAGACCACAGTGATCTTCTGCACTCTTCACATACTCCCATAAAGCTTCTACCACATTTACCCCATCATACAACAATATAGAGCCAGCCAATCTTTCTCCTTATTTATTTCCTAACATGCCAGCATACAGTGAACAGAAGATCCAAAAGAGGACTGCTCACTAGCCTTGACTTCTGAACAAGCCCCACATCTTCACCTGGAGCCATACAATCATCAGATGCCTGTTCGGTCTGGTCTTGGAAACCAACATATTTTGGCCAAATCAAGCGCCAAAGCAGACTGGAAAACAATAATAACAGAAAAAGGGGCAAAGGCTGGCCAACACAAAGATGAGCAAAGGATATCAGTGAGACCCTGGCACGTGCATGAGGTAGGAGAGCTGGTGAAGGACCAAGTGTCTTTAATGCACACAATGATGATAGTGATCTTCTGCAAAGGACCTGCTACATGGTGATGTGTGTGCGGCTGGTTCTTCAGCCAGTGAGACCCTGGCACGTGCATGAGGTAGGAGATGACAGTGATCTTCTGCAAAGGACCTGCTACATGGTGATGTGTGTGCGGCTGGTTCTTCAGCCAGTGAGAAGCTGCATTGACTGCCTCCATCTCCATTCTCAAGCTAGATTATGTGGTTTCAAATGCCAGGCTTTCAAAACAACAAGAAAATTGTTTATGCACTCATCGATATAACAAACCACATTGAGGGCAACTGTTTCATTGTAACATAAGAGTGACAAAACATTCATAAGAGTAACAAATCATCTATAAGGGTGACAAGTCATTCACAAGAGTGACAAGTCATTCACAAGAGTAACAAGTCATGCATAAGAGTGACAAGTCATGCATAAGAGTGACAAGTCATGCATAAGAGTGACAAGTCATGCACAAGAGTGACAAGTCAATCACAAGAGTGACAAGTCATGCATAAGAGTGACAAGTCATGCATAAGAGTGACAAGTCATGCATAAGAGTGACAAGTCATGCATAAGAGTGACAAGTCATGCACAAGAGTGACAAGTCATTCATAAGAGTGACAAGTCATTCACAAGAGTGACAAGTCATGCATAAGAGTGACAAGTCATGCATAAGAGTGACAAGTCATGCACAAGAGTGACAAGTCAATCACAAGAGTGACAAGTCATGCATAAGAGTGACAAGTCATGCATAAGAGTGACAAGTCATGCATAAGAGTGACAAGTCATGCATAAGAGTGACAAGTCATTCACAAGAGTGACAAGTCATTCACAAGAGTGACAAGTCATTCACAAGAGTGACAAGTCATGCACAGTGTATATCTTCGTCCACTTCCTCCTTCCCCACTTCAGGGAGACCTCAGGTTCAGCTTCTGGTTGCCTCAACCACAGACACATTGTGGCCAAGTTTTCTCTGATGTTATCTCTTCATCTTGTTCTTGGTCTACCTTGTGCTCTTTGTCCACTTCCTCTTCTGGTTGCCTCAACCACAGACACATTGTGGTCAAGTTTCTCTGATGTTATCTCTCCATCTTGTTTTTGGTCTACTTTGTGCTCTTTGTCCACTTCCTCTTCTGGTGTATATCATGTATGGTATGGGGTAAGAAGATTTTCTCTCTCGAAGTGGGTCAACTGTTTGATTTGCTGCCTATACTTGTAAAGCCTGAACTGTAATATCACAGTCAGGTGACACAACTTACTAAAGGTGTACAGCACCATCCACATCCAATAAAACCACACAGTAAATAAGTCACGGATCACTTTTACTGTGCTAGGAATATGGTGCTAGTCCCAGTCAGCACTTGGTGAATCTTTCACTTGTTGACAATATCATGCCAGCCACCTTTACTGTGCTAGGTATATGGTGCTAGTCCCAGTCAGCACTTGATGGTGAATCTTTCACTTGTTGACAATATCATGCCAGCCACCTTTACTGTGCTAGGTATATGGTGTTAGTCCCAGTCAGCACTTGATGGTGAATCTTTCACTTGTTGACAATAACATGCCAGCCACCTTAACTTTCCAGGAAATGTTCTGCTTCATCACAAACCACACTGAAGGTAAATTGTAATCTTAATCAATCAAGAGACTTACCTAAGCCAATAAGGCCCCAGATACATCGCCCCAGGCCTGCATCAGAACCTGATTGGTAGTTGTAGTATGGCTGATAGACAACCCCGCCTCTAGCCTCACCATTGACAGCCACACCAATCAACACCGTCACATGATCTAAGAGACCTGCAAGTCAATCAACACTGTCACATGATCTAAGAGACCTGCAAGTCTATCAACACCGTCACATGATCTAAGAGACCTGCAAGTCTATCAACACTGTCACATGATCTAAAAGACCTGCAAGTCAATCAACACTGTCACATGATCTAAGAGAACTGCAAGTCAATCAACACTGTCACATGATCTAAGAGACCTGCAAGTCAATCAACACTGTCACATGATCAAAGAGACCTGCAAGTCAATCAACACTGTCACATGATCTAAGAGACCTGCAAGTCAATCAACACTGTCACATGATCTAAGAGACCTGCAAGTCAATCAGCACTGTCACATGATCTAAGAGACCTGCAAGTCAATCAACACTGTCACATGATCTAAGAGACCTGCAAGTCAATCAACATTGTCACATGATCTAAGAGACCTGCAAGTCAATCAACACTGTCACATGATCTAAGAGACCTGCAAGTCAATCAACATTGTCACATGATCTAAGAGACCTGCAAGTCAATCAACACTGTCACATGATCTAAGAGACCTGCAAGTCTATCAACACTGTCACATGATCTAAGAGACCTGCAAGTCTATCAAAAGTCAATAAATTAACAGATCTAAAAGTGCCAAACACTTCTTGTCCTCCAGACTCTAGTCACTGATTGGTTCATCAAGCTCAGACTCCAGTCACTGATTGGTTCATCAAGCCCAGACTCCAGTCACTGATTGGTTCATCAAGCCCAGACTCTAGTCACTGATTGGTTCATCAAGCCCAGACTCTAGTCACTGATTGGTTCATCAAGCTCAGACTCTAGTCACTGATTGGTTCATCAAGCCCAGACTCTAGTCACTGATTGGTTCATCAAGCCCAGACTCTAGTCACTGATTGGTTCATCAAGCCCAGACTCTAGTCACTGATTGGTTCATCAAGCTCAGACTCCAGTCACTGATTGGTTCATCAAGCCCAGACTCTAGTCACTGACTGGTTCATCAAGCCCAGACTCTAGTCACTGATTGGTTCATCAAGCTCAGACTCTAGTCACTGATTGGTTCATCAAGCCCAGACTCTAGTCACTGATTGGTTCATCAAGCCCAGACTCTAGTCACTGATTGGTTCATCAAGCTCAGACTCTAGTCACTGATTGGTTCATCAAGCCCAGACTCTAGTCACTGATTGGTTCATCAAGCCCAGACTCTAGTCACTGATTGGTTCATCATGCGTGTGCGTATGTCTCTGTGTCGGTTTATGTGTCTGCATATATGTCTGTGTGCGTATGTGTGCGTGTGCATGTCTGTGTGTGTATCTGTGTATGTGTCAGTGTTGCATATGTCTATGGGTGTGTCTGTGTGTTTCCCTGCCTGCATGTGTGTATGTGTTTGTGTGTGTGTGTGTGTGCCTGTGACGGCACGAGTATGTGTCTGTGTGCGTCAGTGTGTGTGTGTTTGTAGGTGTCTTTCTGTGCGGCTGCATGTGCGTATGTGCATGTGTCTATAGCTGTGTGTGTCTGTATATGTCTGGGTTGTATGCATGTGTTTTAGAGCGTGTGTATATGTGGGTGACTGTGTGTATGAGTGTATATGTGTGTGTGTATGTATGCATGTGTGTGTATGTATGCATGTGTGTAGGTATGTATGTGTGTATATATGTGCGCATTTATGTACGCATGTACATCTGTGTGTGTGTGTGTGTGTGTGTGTGTGTGTGCATATTCGTATGTATGTGGATGTATTTGTGTATTGGGTGCCTATGTATGTGTGTGTAAGTGAATGGGCTTGCGAGTGTATGTGGGTGTGTGTGTTCGAGCGCAAGCGTACGCACATATTTTACCACCCATGCTTTTGTTTTTGACTTTATATTCATAATATGCATATTATTACATGAAGATAACATGCTTTATGAAAGATGCTGTGTAAAAGATGGAGTTTGGAAGGGCCGAATGTAAGACAGGCCTGCGCGATTAATTTGTGACCCTTTGAAAAAAAGTTAGTTCATTTGTTCGTTCGTCACTGATTGGTTCATCAAGCTTCGACTCTAGTCACTGATTGGTTAATCAAGCTCAGACTTTAGTCACTGATTGGTTCATCAAGCCCAGACTCTAGTCACTGATTGGTTCATCAAGCCCAGACTCTAGTCACTGATTGGTTCATCAAGCCCAGACTCTAGTCACTGATTGGTTCATCAAGCCCAGACTCTAGTCACTGACTGGTTCAAGCTTAGACTCTAGTCACTGATTGGTTCATCAAGCCCAGACTCTAGTCACTGATTGGTTCATCAAGCTCAGACTCTAGTCACTGATTGGTTCATCAAGCTTCGACTCTAGTCACTGATTGGTTAATCAAGCTCAGACTTTAGTCACTGATTGGTTCATCAAGCCCAGACTCTAGTCACTGATTGGTTCATCAAGCCCAGACTCTAGTCACTGATTGGTTCATCAAGCCCAGACTCTAGTCACTGACTGGTTCATCAAGCTCAGACTCTAGTCACTGATTGGTTCATCAAGCCCAGACTCTAGTCACTGATTGGTTCATCAAGCCCAGACTCTAGTCACTGATTGGTTCATCAAGCTCAGACTTTAGTCACTGACTGGTTCATCAAGCCCAGACTCTAGTCACTGATTGGTTCATCAAGCTCAGACTTTAGTCACTGACTGGTTCATCATGCTCAGACTCTAGTCACTGACTGGTTCATCATGCTCAGACTCTAGTCACTGATTGCTTCATCAAGCTCAGACTTTAGTCACTGATTGGTTCATTAAGCTCATATTCCAGTCAATAATGTGATTGGCTGACACAGGCAGGGAAAGTCCCTTTGACAGATATTGCAAAAATAGGAGTGGTGGTGTAGAGGTGAATGAGCTGTAATTCAGCAAATGTATAATCTATGATACTAGTACAACACTACCTGTTGTATGATGACTGTGACTTTGTAAAATGATGTATTAATTTCAAGACTAATTGTAGCAAGAGAAGAGGAGTGGTGGCCGAACAGTGAAGAATGCTGAGTTCTCATACGGGAGTCTCAGGTTTAATCCAAGTAAGGATATGGGTTTTTCTTTTGGGGGCAAAACTAAAATCCTAACCTGCACAGTCCGTGTTGACAGCACTAACCACACATCCTTGAATCCTCAGGCTCAAAGACTTCCTGCCTACATGACAAAAGTGGTCATTACAGGCAGTAACAGTTGTCTGGAAACTGCAGCAAGACTACAGCTACCACTTAAGTCCTTTCTGTAATAAGACCAAAGCCAAAACCCAAGTCCCGTGTCCCAAGTCTTGTGTTAATTAACAGTTAAAGGTGCTGTTTCCACACCACAGTGCCATACAGAGGATAATGTGCTGGGTCTAAAGTTCTTGGACATACAATGACATCAATGTGCTCACACCAGATCAGATACACCGACATAAATGTGATCACACCAGATCAGATACACCGACATACAATGACATTAATGTGCTCACACCAGATCAGATACACCGACATACAATGACATCAATGTGCTCACACCAGATCAGATACACGGACATACAATGACATCAATGTGCCCACACCAGATCAGATACACCAACATACAATGACATCAATGTGCTTACACCAGATCAGATACACCCACTTACAACGACATAAATGTGATCACACCAGATCAGATACACCGACATACAATGACATCAATGTGCTCACACCAGATCAGATACACGACATACAATGACATCAATGTGCTCACACCAGATCAGATACACCGACATACAATGACATCAATGTGCCCACACCAGATCAGATACACCGATATACAGTGACATCAATGTGCTCACACCAGATCAGATACACCGACATACAATGACATCAATGTGCTCACACTAGATCAGATACACCGATATACAATGACATCAATGTGCTCACACTAGATCAGATACAAACTCTTTAGAGGCAACAAACAGACTGACTTACCCTGTGTGAATTCAGCTGTTCCATCAAGTGGGTCCACCCATATGACCACCTGAAAGATGTGATCAACAGTCATGTGATCAACAGTCATGTGATCAACAGTCATGTGATCAACAGTCATGTGATCAACAGTCATGTGGTGAATTTATAAACTACAGTCTTCTACTTATGTTCACTGGCTGTAGACTCTGGCACAAAGTTCTGGTTGTTCATCCACTTTTGTTCTTTGGTTTTGTTCCAGAACTGGAATTTTTGCATGCACATCCTTTTTCTTTTAGATCTGGCCTATTTGTATGCAAACTGCTGGTCCGTGCTTTTCTGGCAGATGCACTCCAGCTTTTCTGGCAGATACACTCCAGCTTTTCTGGCAGATACACTCCAGCTTTTTTGGCAGATACACTCCAGCTTTTCTGGCAGATGCACTCCAGCTTTTCTGGCAGATACACTTCAGCTTCTCAGGCAGATAAACTCCAGCTTTTCTGGCAGATACACTCCAGCTTTTCTGGCAGATACACTCCAGCTTCTCAGGCAAATGCACTCCAGCTTCTCAGGCAGATGCACTCCAGCTTCTCAGGCAGATGCACTCCAGCTTCTCAGGCAGATGCACTCCAACTTCTCAGGCAGATGCACTCCAGCTTCTCGGGTAGATGCACTCCAGCTTCTCAGGCAGATACACTCCAGCTTTTAAGGCAGATACACTCCAGCTTCTCAGGCAGATACACTCCAGCTTCTCAGGCAGATACACTCCAGCTTCTCAGGCAGATACACTCCAGCTTCTCAGGCAGATACACTCCAGCTTCTCAGGCAGATGCACTCCAGCTTCTCAGGCAGATACATTCCAGCTTCTCGGGCAGATACATCTAGCTTTTCAGGCAGATACATCCAGCTTCTCAGGCAGATACACTCCAGCTTCTCAGGCAGATACACTCCAGCTTTTCAGGCAGATACACTCCAGCTTTAAAGAAAACACCATTAGCCCCCGCTACAACATACTTGGGTTGGTGGGAAGCGGGAGTTGTCCTTTTTCCCCCATCCAGGAAATAAATCTACAGAAACAGGCACCACACTTCATACACTCACAAAGGCAAGGAGTGGACAACACTGACCATGACTTCTCCAATCCTCTCCTCCCCCACCAGGAGCTAGGTCTGCAACAACTGACAATCATGACACTAGATGGTCATCCTCGTCATTACAATAATGACACTTCGGTCATCCCCTTCATTACAATCATGACACTTCGGTCATCCCCCTCATTACAATCATGACACTTTGGTCATCCCCCTCATTACAATCATGACACTTTGGTCATCCCCCTCATTACAGTCATGACACTTAAGTCATTCCCCTCATCACAATCATGACACTTCGGTCATCCCCCTCATTACAATCATGACACTTCGGTCATCCCCCTCATTACAATCATGACACTTCAGTCATCCCCCTCATTACAATCAAGACACTTCGGTCATCCCCCTCATTACAATCATGACACTTCGGTCATCTCCATCATTACAATCATGACACTTTAGTCACCCCCCTCATCACAATCATGACACTTTGGTCATCCCCTCATCACAATCATGACACTTCGGTCATCCCCCTCATTACAATCATGACACTTCGGTCACCCCCCTCATTACAATCATGACACATCAGTAATCTCCATCATTACAATCACGACACTTTGGTCATTTCCCTCATTACAATCATGACACTTTGGTCATCTCCATCAATACAATCATGACACTTCGGTCATCCCCCTCATTACAATCATGACACTTCGGTCCCCCCCCCCCCCAATTACAATCATGACACTTCGGTCATCCCCCTCATTACAATCATGACACTTCAATAATCTCCATCATTACAATCATGACACTTCAGTCACCCCCCTCATTACAATCCTGACACTTTGGTCATCTCCATCATCACAATCATGACACGTCAGTCATCTCTATCACCACAATCAAGACATGTCGGTTATCTCTCTCATCTGCCATAAGATATGACAAAGCTGTCACAATCAGAAATGAGAACTACCAAAGTTTAGCTGGCTGTGGACAAGATGTAAGAATCATCAACAACAAAACAATATGACCATAATCCAGAATTAGAGCCAAAGAAAGATCCCACTCCCCGTGTGGGTTACAGGGACCCATTATTGGGGAAAATGAAAATAGACTCCCTGCCTCCCCAACAAGCATGTCGTAAGAGTGGACTAAATTGGGACATCCTTCAAAGTCGGAGTTCATCTGCCTAAGAGGCAAGAAACCACAGGTCTGCATACAGATAAGCTAGATCTGTGAAACGGATGTGCATGCAACACTCAGGTTCAGGAGCAAGACCAATGTCTAGAGGTTGATAAACAGCCAGAACTTTCTGCCCAAGTTCACATTTGGTGAACTCCAAACAGAAAGATTCCACCAAGAACAACCATCATATATATAGTAGTAGAAATATCTTAGCCAGAAAGTATCATGAACTACACATAAATAACAAACTAAAACTGAAGCTAAATGCAAGAAGAAGAATCAAAGTATTGAGTCACCAACCTGGTCGTCGGAGACATTCTTGTAGATGTCCGGACAGACGTGGGACAGGACATCCTGGCTCAGCTCCTTCACGATGTAGTCGTCTGGAATTCTGTCACCAGGGTCCAGACTCTATGAAATCATGACAGTCAAATCTGTGTGAGAGATCTACCACACAATGCTGTCTGGTAAATAAATATATCATACAACATTGTCTGGTAGATGAATCTATCATACAACACTGTCTGTTCACTAAATCTATCATACAACATTGTGTGGTAGCTGAATCTAACACATAACACTGTCTGTTAACTAAATCTAACACTCAACACTGTCTATTTACTAAATCTACCACTCATTGTACAGAGATGAGTGCTGTAATCAACCCAGAAAAAGCAACCATCCTGTGGTGTTCTTTGGACAATAGAATTGTAAGAGCTGATGTTCCAATCCTCAAAATAAATGACAGGGACATCAAAAGAAACAGCAGACTACGGTACTTGGGAATGACCTTTGACAGAAGCTTGTATTTCAAGGATCACTTAGAGGAGGTTGTGATAATGGCTCATTAAGGTCTTAACGGACTAAAGATTATGGCAGCGATGGACATGGAGCAGAGAATGCCGTTCACACTTTACCAGCACTTAATCATCTCAGTGATTGATTATGGATTGGGGTTACTCACCGTCTCGAAGAGTCAGCTAGAGAAACTGGAGCGCATACAGAATGAAGCTATGTGATTGATCCTGGGATGTAAAAGAGAGACACCGGTTGTGTGCATGCCAGCAATTGCAGATAGGCTAAAAGTGCTGCAGGCTAAGTCATAACTCAGAGTAGCTGCAGACAGGGAACACCCTCTGTATGAAGCTTTGGCTGCAGGTAAGGGTCAGAGGCTGAAAAGGGGAAAATCGTGGATGGCTCAAACAGAAGACCCAATAGAGTAAGTACGAATGCTGGAGAACATTGGGCGAGGAAAGGAGTTGGTCAGAATACCAAGGAAAAGTCTGACCTGTGTAGGGTCATGACCACGTTGGGCGGAGAGGGCAGAGAGTGGCCAGCAGGTGCTTTGGAGGTGGAAGTCCAGCAGTTGATTCATGACAATTCTCACCCAAATGATCTGATTATCTATATAGATGGTTCTGTGTTGAGAGGGAAGAGAAGTAGCATGGGGTTCGTAGCAAAGGAAAATGTAAAATCTTGAGTGCAGGACAGCCCAGCATACGATACCACAACATCTAGCATGAGGGTGGAGGTGTTACAACCAGCACCATGAGTTTTAGAACTCTGCACTGGCTGCTTAAGATGAAGATGGAACATGCATCTGAATGCCAAGAGTGGTGTGATGTCAATTCTTGACACAACTCAACTAAATCTACCCCATAACACTGTTTATTAACTAAATCTACCACACAACAGTTTCTGTAAACTTTTTACTATACTGGAGAAGTGTTCACACTGTCATCTATACATGCACACATACAGCTGCTGCCTTCTTCTTCTTCACTTCTTGCTACCACTTCAGGTGTTGAGGGAGATATAAATGTCTGCTTTTGCTCTTCCTCATGCTCTGCATCCTTTTTCTGTTGGTGTAAGCCTTGTGTGGTCTGGTGTCAAAAGGCACACTCTCTCCCAGCAGGCAAATGGCCAGTCTATAAGTGAATGTTTCTGTGCTTAAACACAGCAAATACAAGTAGCTAATCTACAAATGAGTGTACAGTGCAATGCTACTCAATGATGATGTGTTCACACATTCAAGGACTAAAACACCAAGATGCCTACCTCCTCTCCAAAAATGGCAACTCTGGGAAAGTGTCGGTGAAGCGTGGCCACAATACATCTCTGGACAGCCCTGTCAGCCTCAGTCTGCAGATCATTCTTGCCCTGGAACAGAGACCAACACCTGTACATGGTGTACAAGTTCAATCATTCTTGCCCTGGAACAGAAACCAACAACTGTACCTGGTGTACAAGTTCAATCAATCTTCTGTACACATCACAGAAGACCCACTCATCATTCTCCTGCAGCCTTCCAGTACACTCCTTATTCTTGTGTCAGCTGAGTTTTCCAAAAGATCTTTAGTTCCAGTGATGGCACATAGCTACAAGTATATTCCAGTGATGGCACATGGCTACAAGTATATTCCAGTGATGGCACATAGTTACAAGTATATTCCAGTGATGGCACATGGCTACAAGTATATTCCAGTGATGACACATAGCTACAAGTATATTCCAGTGATGGCACATGGCTACAAGTATATTCCAGTGATGACACATGGCTACAAGTATATTCCAGTGATGACACATAGCTACAAGTATATTCCAGTGATGGCACATAGCTACAAGTATATTCCAGTGATGGCACATAGCTACAAGTATATTCCAGTGATGACACATGGCTACAAGTATATTCCAGTGATGGCACATGGCTACAAGTATATTCCAGTGATGGCACATGGCTACAAGTATATTCCAGTGATGACACATGGCTACAAGTATATTCCAGTGATGGCACATAGCTACAAGTATATTCCAGTGATGACACATGGCTACAAGTATATTCCAGTGATGGCACATAGCTACAAGTATATTCCAGTGATGGCACATAGCTACAAGTATATTCCAGTGATGACACATAGCTACAAGTATATTCCAGTGATGACACATGGCTACAAGTATATTCCAGTGATGACACATAGCTACAAGTATATTCCAGTGATGGCACATAGCTACAAGTATATTCCAGTGATGACACATAGCTACAAGTATATTCCAGTGATGGCACATAGCTACAAGTATATTCCAGTGATGGCACATAGCTACAAGTATATTCCAGTGATGGCACATAGCTACAAGTATATTCCAGTGATGGCACATAGCTACAAGTATAAACTCACATAAAAACAAACATACTAAGTCCATTTATACATAAACTTACAAAAAATCCTAAACAAATAAAATATATTTTTAAAACTAATAGCCAAAGTTTTTACATTCTGAGCTTGATCCGCTCACTTAAAAACTAAATACATTCTTCTTGTTTAACTTTGTGTGTGAACAGATTCACAAAGCAGTGGTGGCATTGTATTTGTGACAGTGCCCTCTCTATCTTATGTGCTGCTGCTTATTTCAGACATGTGCAAGCACACAACAGCTAGACACTGTGTCAGTGAAACTGTGACATGTAGTTCTATAAAAGGATTCTCTTTTGAACCAGGGGATGGCTACTGACAGTTCTAGACAAGGATTCTCTCATGAACCAGGGGATGGCTACTGACAGTTCTAGACAAGGATTCTCTCATGAACCAGGGGATGGCTACTGACAGTTCTAGACAAGGATTCTCTTTTGAACCAGGGGGTGGCTACTGACAGTTCTAGACAAGGATTCTCTCATGAACCAGGGGATGGCTACTGACAGTTAGCATAAGGATTATATCATGTACAAGTACTTTTTTAAAAAATGTTATCGATAATACTGAGTGAAAATAAGCACGCTGCAGTTCTACAGTTGCTATGCACGAGCCAGAATTGTTCAGTTTCCAGTGCTTCTAGTCCAACAAAAACAGTGGCTTTACTCTCAGACTCAGACCAAATTTAATTCATGCCTGGAAAAATAATCTGACATCCATGATGTGAGTTATTGTATGAGCTGATTGCATAGACAGGTATTTCCAGTTTCAAACACAGCTGAAGCATTTGTTAACTAGCTGCACCCCAATGGTCATCTCCCCTAACCAACCATAACTTAGTTGAAACACTGGTTTACTAGCTGTACCAATGGTCATCTCCACTAACCAACCATAACTTAGTTGAAACACTGGTTTACTAGCAGTACCAATGGTCATCTCCACTAACCAACCATACCTTAGTTGAAACACTGGTTTACTAGCAGTACCAATGGTCATCTCCACTAACCAACCATAACTTAGTTGCAGCACTGGTTTACTAGCTGTACCAATGGTCATCTCCACTAACCAACCATAACTTAGTTGAAACACTGGTTTACTAGCAGTACCAATGGTCATCTCCACTAACCAACCATAACTTAGTTGAAACACTGGTTTACTAGCAGTACCAATGGTCATCTCCACTAACCAACCATAACTTAGTTGAAACACTGGTTTACTAGCTGTACCAATGGTCATCTCCACTAACCAACCATAACTTAGTTGAAACACTGGTTTACTAGCTGTACCAATGGTCATCTCCACTAACCAACCATAACTTAGTTGAAACACTGGTTTACTAGCAGTACCAATGGTCATCTCCACTAACCAACCATAACTTAGTTGAAACACTGGTTTACTAGCAGTACCAATGGTCATCTCCACTAACCAACCATAACTTAGTCGAAACACTGGTTTACTAGCAGTACCAATGGTCATCTCCACTAACCAACCATAACTTAGTTGAAACACTGGTTTACTAGCAGTACCAATGGGGATCACTCATGCAAGCAGGGAAGGGCTGGTAGTTGTGCAATGTTACAGCCAGGTGCTGCTAGTGACATCTGCTCAACACTAGACACCATGTCAGTTTAGATACACTGAAAATGTCACAGCTGTGTTCACACACACACACACACACACGTGGGAAAGTGGCCTCCAGCTGTACCACTACACCTGAGTATGTGTATGTGTGTCTAGCTGGAGTTTTCCCTGCTAAGTATCTCCTCTCCACTCACACAATCCACCTGTACCACACATGTACCAGGTCATAACCATACCAACTCTGGCAACTACCAAGAGAACCACAATCTCAATCATTCACTGGCTATCATTCCCTATTACTGTGCAGTCCCAAGATACCTTATGTACTTTCAGTGTACTCTTTTCAATCACAGAGTGTAGAGCTGTGTTTTGTCTCTACCATGTGGGCAAAAGTGTCTTGGTTGAAGCGGAGCACAGCCAGTTTCTGTTTGACTTATATAACTGCCCTTGTTGCAGACTGTGCCTGGTTCAGTATGAGCATGCAAGTACTATGGTCTACTTGATACAGTTCACATCAATGTGGTGACAGACATAGTGACAGGGTAATTATCATTTATCATGTTGTAGACAGTTTGACAGGACAGAGACAGTGTCCGCGTAACTCTCATTTATCATGCTGTAGACAATCTGACAGGACAGAGACAGTGTCTCTCATTTATCATGCTGTAGACAATCTGACAGGACAGAGACATTATCTCTCATTTATCATGCTGTACACAATCTGACAGGACAGAAACATTATCTCTCATTTATCATGCTGTAGACAATCTGACAGGACAGAGACAGTGTCTCTCATTTATCATGCTGTAGACAATCTGACAGGACAGAAACATTATCTCTCATTTATCATGCTATAGACAATCTGACAGGACAGAGACAGTGTCTCTCATTTATCACACTGTTGACAATCTGACAGGACAGAAACATTATCTCTCATTTGTCATGCTGTAGACAATCTGACAGGACAGAAACATTATCTCTCATTTATCACACTGTTGACAGTTTGACAGGACAGAGACAGTGTCTCTCATTTATCATGCTGTAGACAATCTGACAGGACAGAGACAGTGTCTCTCATTTATCATGCTGTAGGCAATCTGACAGGACAGAAACATTATCTCTCATTTATCATGCTGTAGACAATCTGACAGGACAGAAACATTATCTGTAGACAATCTGACAGGACAGAAACATATCTCTCATTTATCATGCTGTGGACAATCTGACAGGACAGAAACATTAGACAATCTGACAGGACAGAAACATCTCATTTATCATGCTGTAGACAATCTGACAGGACAGAGACAGTGTCTCTCATTTATCATGCTGTAGACAATCTGACAGGACAGAGACATTATCTCTCATTTATCATGCTGTAGACAATCTGACAGGACAGGACAGTAACATCATTTTATGCTGTAGACTCTCATTATCTTCATTTATCATGCTGTAGACAATCTGACAGGACAGAGACATTGTCTCTCATTTATCATGCTGTAGACAATCTGAGACAGTATCTCTCATCATGCTGACATCTGAGGACAGAGACATTATCTCTCATTTATCATGCTGTAGGACAATCTGACAGGACAGAGACATTATCTCTCATTTATCATGCTGTAGACAATCTGACAGGACAGAAACATTATCTCTCATTTATCATGCTGTAGACAATCTGACAGGATCTCTCATTTATCAGACAGTGTCTCTCATTTATCATCATTTAGAAACATGCTGTAGACAATCTGTGACAATCTGACAGGACAGAAACATTATCTCTCATTTATCATGCTGTAGACAATCTGACAGGACAGAGACAGTATCTCTCATTTATCATGCTGTAGACAATCTGACAGGACAGAAACATTATCTCTCATTTATCATGCTGTAGACATCATCTGACAGGACAGAAACAGTGTCTCTCATTTATCATGCTGTAGACAATCTGACAGGACAGAAACATTATCTCTCATTTATCATGCTGTAGACAATCTGACAGGACAGAGACATTATCTCTCTCATTTATCATGCTGTAGACAATCTGACAGGACAGAGGACATTATCTCTCATTTATCATGCTGTAGACAATCTGACAGGACAGAGACAGTGTCTCTCATTTATCATGCTGTAGACAATCTGACAGGACAGAGACATTATCTCTCATTTATCATGCTGTAGACAATCTGACAGGACAGAAACATTATCTCTCATTTATCATGCTGTTGACATCATGCTCTTTTATCACAGGACAGAGACAGTGTCTCTCATTTATCATGCTGTAGACAATCTGACAGGACAGAGACAGTATCTCTCATTTATCATGCTGTAGACAATCTGACAGGACAGAAACATTATCTCTCATTTATCATGCTGTAGACAATTTGACAGGAC